ATTAATGATTACTGGGGCTTGGGATACAGCTCAGTGATAGAGCATGTTTTTAGTTCCTCTGTGCAAGTAAAGAAACAAACATGATTATCATTCATAGATGAATACAGATGAAATCAAATAATTGATTTTTTCATACAGGACTTTTATTTTTATTTATTTAGCTAGGCCTATAAATAATTGTTTAACCAGCTTTCTGCCATTGTATCTATGTAGGTGTATGTTATGCTTGGATATGTATACATTTTCTGCATGTATATGAACGAGTGTGTGTGTGCATGCACACTCGTGTGTGCATACGCACACATAGGTTTGAGGTAGATGTCAGAAGTCATCCTCAATGGCTCTACCACCTTATTCATTCAGGCAGGCTCTGTGAATCGAACTGGAGCTTGCCAATATGTCTAGTCTTGCTAACCAGCTTCCTTGGGGGATCTCTTGTCTCTGTATTTTAAGGCTATAATCACAGATGGGCTACTACATCCCCCCACCATTTATTTGAGTTCTCAGGATATAAGCTTTGGTCTTTTTTTTTTTTTTTTGTTTTGTTTTGTTTTTTCAAGACAGGGTTTCTCTGTGTAGCTTTGCGCCTTTCCTGGAACTCCCTTGGTAGCCCAGGCTGGCCTCGAACTCACAGAGATCCACCTGGCTCTGCCTCCCGAGTGCTGGGATTAAAGGCGTGCGCCACCACCGCCCGGCTAGCTTTGGTCTTTATACTTGAGGAGCAAGTACTTCAACCACTGAGCCATCTCCCACACTCTACTTACTGGCATTTGTATGTATCTGTTGACCTGTCTGTGTTTTTCTATATTTTTATATATCTATGTATATGTATCTGAAAATAATTAAAAGATAATTTTTGGCACTTCTTTAAATATTTATTAAGTATAATAAAATATATTTCAATTACATAGTATATAATTTTGAAGTTGTACAACTTAGATTGTGTATGTCATATTAGTTGTGATGTAATCACACACAGCACTTTACTGGAGAAAGACCAGTTACTTTTTGTGACTATAATTGATGGAAAATGCTCCATATTCATCTACTGCACGTTCTTCCTTCTCCCTGAACCCTGATCTTATTTAGGACATCATCTAAAGACTCTTCTCTTATAGAAAGTGGTGAACATTTAATGTAGTTCCAAGGAAGGAGATGCGAATTGGGCAGTTAAGTTGCCATTGACAGGAGCTTAAGCTTGCAGAAACTCAAAGAAGAAAGGATTTATTTTGGCTTATAGTTTGAGTGTGCAGTCCATCATGATTGAAGGCATGGCAGCAGGAGGATAAATCAATTGGTCATATTCTGTCCTCAGAAAGCAAAGACAGATTAATGCTTGGGCTCAACTTGCATTCTCCCCTTTTAACTGTTTATTTAATCTGGACCCCAGCCTGTGAGATGATTTCACCCACATTGAGGGTGGGTCTTCTTAGCTAATTCCCTTATAATTCCTTTACACACATGCCCAGAAGTGTATCTTTTAGATGATTCCAAGTCCAGTGACGTTGACAGTGAAGCTAGAGAGCATCAAGCCTTGGCTTAACAGGGGCCTCTGAGCTAACTCATACCTTCTTCCCTTGTCCCCTTTCCTTTGCTCTCTGCCCTCCCCTTCCCAGATGTTCAGAACTAAAGAGATCATTTTGCAACTGCAAGGGCAAAGTTGAAACACAACAGCTGTGACCCTGACAGCTTTGGCCTCCTTTAGTCACTTACTCTTGAACTTTCTTACATTGGGAAACAATTAAGGCCCATGGTGCACTCTTGAAGCCCTGAGTACCTGGATTTTCTCTAAGTGTAGCAAGGAGTAAGCCCAATGCTCCTACCAGGAAGATCCCAGTGCTGCTCACTGCTTCTGATTCTTGCTTCTGTGCACACTGAGCACAGAAATGCGTCCAGTCCTGCTCCTGCTCCTGATTGGGCTACCAGACTATATTCCTGGGTTTCCTTGAAGCCAGAGTTACACAATAAAGGAGCTCTTGCATCCTTTTGTTTTTGTTTGAAGTGGAATGGAATTTGGAATGATGATGTGTGGTGAAGCAGAATCCTTTGTAGTTACGACAACTGAGAACCCTAGTTTTAGATAAGCTTTATAAGAATTGCTTCCTATACTACTAAAATTGTGGAGGAAGGATGGAGTGGGGTTTGGCATTCTCGGTCAGTGTTATTCTAAATGAAAAATATTTCTTTTTACTTATTAGCCATTGTTATTTGCTTTGTTTTTTCTTAACATTTATATTTTAAAAGTATTTTTGTGTTTTAATTGTTTTCTATTCTGATTACAGACAATAATGCTTAGGTACATAAAGTGCTAATTATTAAATGCTATTTTATAACTTTATGTATTTTCAATTTTAAAATTTATTACTTTTAATATTCTGTTTGTACTGAAGTAAAGCAAGAATATGTGCTATGTGAAGTTTTGTCTCAAAAACTACTAAGTGGATCAGGTCTGCCATCCCGTTTGTCCTCTCTCTTTCCTTTCCTTTTGTTTACTTACTCTTCATTCATTCATAAGAAATGAATACAGTCTCTAAATACTATGATTTCATTATTTCTTAAATCCACAAGTCACCATCAGATAGGTTGATGGTGCACCATATCACATCTTTCCATCACATGGATGGCTCAAACAGGAGAGTTAGAATCTTTATCACCTCCCTTCTCCAAGGTAAGATGTTTGATGATCATGAGGTCTGCATTACTGACTGCAGTCCCTCCCGGTGAGCAGATCACTAGAACTCACTCCTCTTGTGTCATTGGAACTTTGTTCTGGACATCATGTCCTTTTTCTTTCCCCTTTCTGTGGTGTCTGGAATTTGCCACTGTCCTCTCTGTTCCATGAGTTTGACTTTGTCAGATTCTACACATAAGTGAGACCCTGCAGCTTTATCTTCCTGCACTAGCTGAGTTCATTTAATATGGCACCCCTTCCCATATTGTTGCAAATGGCAGGTGCCATTCTTTTTGCATGTACATAACTCTATGTATGTCTGTGAATATTTGGAGAGATCGCATATTTTGGCTACTGTGAATGACACTACAATGAACACGGGAGTGCAAATATCTCTTCAACATATCAATTTCCATTACTATGGATATATACACAGTTATTGGATTGCCAGATCAAATGATAGCTCTGCTTTTAGTTGTTTAGAAAGCTCTGTAGTGTTTTCTACAATTGCTGTGCTAATTTACATTTCCACCAACAGTCTCAGAAATTCCTTTTATTTTGCTTTCTTTTGAGCACTGTCTTTATCTTTTGAGTAATAATCGTTCTGATGGATATAAGATGCAATTATGATTTTAATTTGTATTTACCTAATAGTTGATGATATTGAACATTCTTTTAATCAATCTGTTGGCCATTTGGCTGTGCAAGCCCTTTGTCTGGTTTTAATTGGCTGGGCTCCCCTACTGTGTTTTGATGTTGACCCTTTATGAAATATACTTCATCCACTATCTAGTTGTCTCTTCACTGAATTGTCACAGTAGCTGTAAAGAAACTTTTGCTTTCAAGTCTGTTGTTGCTTTGTTGACTGCACATTTTGTTGCTGTACCAAAAATGTTTGCTAAGACTAATACCAAGAAGCTTTGCCCATATATTTACTCCTGTAGTTTTACAGTGTCAGGCATAATGTTTAAATCCCTCATCCATTTTGAGTTTTGTGTATATTGTGTAAAAGAATTCAGTTCCACCCTCTTCAGGTAGACAGCCAATTTTCCAAATACCATTTTTGAAGAAGTTCCCATTTGTGAGATCTGGCATACATGTGGAAAAATCAACTGATTAGGGATTCATGTTCATTTTTAGACTCACATTCCAGTGGCCAATGTGTCTGGTTTTATGCCAATGTCATACTATTTTGATTACTGTAGCTTCAATGTATATCTTGATGTCAGCTTTGTTCTTTTTGCTCAAGATTGCTTAGGTTGCCAGTAATCTTTTATGGTCCTTTGCAAATTTTAGGCTTGTAATACCAGTTCTGTGAAAATAATACTGGAATTTGATAGGGACTTCACTGAATTTGTGGATTACTTTGGTTTGTGTGGACATTTAAAAAGCATTAATTATTCTAACCAAAGAGCATAAGACATTTTTATATTGAATTATCTTCATTGGTTTCTTCTATCAGCATTTTATAGTTCTGATACATGAATTCTTTAGCTGTTTGTTTAAAGTTATACCTAATCATTAGATTTTGCTAGTATTATAATTGGGATTCTTTTCTTAAATTCTTTTCTTGGTAATATATAACAACACTCCTGGTATTAGACTGCTATTTTTTATTTGGAAACTTTATTGAATTAATTTGTTATTCTGACAGTTTTTAATGATATCTTTAGGGTTTTCTCTTTGCAAGATCAGTGATGATTTCATTTATCTCAGCAAGCCCTTGCTCTAACTAGGACTTCCAGAATTATGGAAAAATGGGTTAAAGTAGATCTCCTCATCTAATGAATTCTCTTAACTTCAGCTTTTCACAGTTGACTATGATACTAGTTTGGGGGCTTAGTAATCTCATTATTGTGTTGCAGTACATTTTCTCTATATCTAATTTGTCTATAGAGTTTCTAATAATGAAAAAAATGTTGACTTTCAGGAGCACATGCTCTTGAAATAATATAATCTCAGTAATGGGAGCTGAAGCTGGAGGACCTTGAGTTAGAGGCCAACCTGGGCTAAATATGGAAAAACACTGAATTTTTTTTAATGCTTTTCCTTAAACTCTTATGGTGATTACATAGATTTTTTTTCTTTATTTCATAAATGTAGTATATTTTATTGTTATAACATTAGAACATAGTCAGATATATACCAGTTTTCATTCCCTTCTTGAAATTATTAAAATATACTAAAATAAATTGTCATATGTTTTATTATTTTATCAATCTTACTTTCATCACTGATTGTTGAGGTGTTTAAGTTCTGGAATTTTAAAGGATGGGCAAAATTTAAGGTACAAAATACAAGTTTTTTAAAATTTGTTTTAACTTCACAGATGGAAAAGGTAGAAGCAGACCTAACTAGATCCAAGTGTCTTCGTGAGAAGCAGTCCAAGGAGTTTCTATGGCAGCTAGAAGATGTCAAGCAGAGATATGAACAGCAGGTCAGCCTTTCGCTTTCATGATACCAGTTAATTTTTAATAGGAATATGCTCCTCTTTTAATCATCTCTCCTTATCACAGAAATCTCTGTAAAATAAAAATATAACCACAAATATATTTGAAACATTTAAAATAATATAATGAAACCCAAATACAACAATTTTAATGTTCTACTAAGGCCTATTCTGATAGTTTGTTATTCTAAATATTTAATTGAAAACTTCATTATGATTCTTGACTCCCTCTAGCCCTAGGATAACTTTCTCATTCATTTACAAGGTAGTACTGGGTACCTGCCATGAGCCAGCCTCTCAGAACAGCACTGGGCATTAACAAGGAGGCGGGTCCCTTTGCTGATGCACTCTAGATCTTGGTAGACAGTCAGCACATGAATAAAAGCTGAAGTGATTCAGAAATGTGAGTCAAGGGGAGAAAAAGAGCATGCCCATAGGCTTTGCCCATCACAAGGCAGGAGCCTGGTTCTCAGCATGGACAGATGGGTGATCAGGGAAGCCTGAATCCCTGCTGAGCGTCTTCCAAAACACCAGGAGGGAACTTCCAAGAGGTCTGTGAGGCACAGCATTCTAGTCAGAGAGAAAGAACAGCTAGGTACAAGAAGAGAGGAAGCTGGGCGATAAAAACTGACAGTAAGCCCAGGTAGGCAGAGTGTAGGGAGAAGGTCCCAAGCTGGGGGAGCAGGGAAATAGAACCAATGGTGGAAAGATTTTAGATCTTAAAAACCAAAAGTTCTTCTTCCCTTTTTAAAAGTCTCCCAGAATATTTAACTACTATTAATTTTTTTATTTACCTAATTTGCTTGTCCTTAACATCTGGAAAAGCATTAATTGGATTTGTAACACAGGTTAATACATTTATTTCTAAAGATATGTAAATCTTTGGAATCTTAAAATAAGAATATTTTAAAATTATACTTTAAGCTCTATTAAGCAGGTACTACATCAAAACTAATTAATCCCTTATGATCGTTGGATTTTATTTCCTCTCCTAATTGATAGCAATTAGTGGTTTACTTGAATTCAGTAAAAAGCAGGTCTGATCTAGTATGTGTCCTGAGGGTTGTTGTTTTAATCTTAATATATTAGTGAAAATAATTGCCTGAGTTACTTCCATAGGGATGGTATAATCACATATAGTTAAAAAGAGAGTGAATTACTTTTTCTTGTTTAGAATCTGACAGTCCTACTTTGTTCTGAACAGGCATCTCATGCCCACCCTGTGAGATCTAACCTGTGCTTAAGGCTTTTTTTTTTTAAATCAGACATTGTGTCTTTTTAGCCCACATCATTTTTTTGTTGTTGTTATTTCTCTAGAATCTAGCTTATCATTTTGGACCTTAAATCTGTTCTTTATTGAAAAACTCTCTCTTGTAATTCTATATTATTAATCCTAGTTGTGAAATGACCTGCTCAGTGTCCCAAGCTAAACTGTGTGTTAGAGTAGTAGGAGCAGTGACAACAAGTGGACTGGACCAAATGGAAGAGAGGAGGAGGCGGACCTCCCTCCCTATGACGTACCTACACATGTGCATGAAAGATGTGTATGTGTGTGTGTGGATTATTTGGAGTAATAGAAAGCTGCAAATAAAATAAATCACACTAAATCTATCTGATGCAATACTATGTCAAAACATGCAGACTTATAAGCTATATTGATAAGAATAAATTACATTTTAGAACACCTTGTAGATTATCTCATTTGTGTACAATTAAAGAATATTTATTAATATCATGCAGTTAGATATATAAATTCAGCAAAAAATTTTTGAATGACTACACATTTCTATGGCATGAATACAGACTTGTAGGTTAGGGGTGTAATGAATGTAGACTTTCATATTATGCTAGAGCGATTGAGAAATGATAAGCATATGAGTAACTGTACATGTCAGCATAAGCATGCCCAAAACTAACCCAACTAAACCAAGTTCTTTCCCTCTTTGACCCAGGTATCCCAGGGGTACTTAGGGGAAGGGAGTAGAGGTAGCCTGTAGCCCATTTTACTTGAAATTAGCAAATCAGCATGTGCATTACCTATATACTTAAAACATTAAAACTATTAATGCCAAGAAATTATAGAAAAATACAGAGCATTTATATTATATTGCATTTTAAGTGATAAAAGCTCATTAGACAGTAAGTAAGCCACTTAAAATAGCTTCAGGAAGTCCCTAAAGCTGACCAGATTCACTAGTGTCCTCCCTCCCAAGCATATATAATTAGGAAGGACTGTTGTGGGTCATTCCAAACCAACTGAGTTTCCTGAAAGATGCTCTACTCTCTAGTCTGTGGAGGTACCCACAGACTGTGCAGCACCCTCCAGGGTTCCAGGTATTGTGAGCTGTCAGCCATGCTGGGTTGGGCTTTAGTAATGCAGCTGTCTTTGAGTCACTTCTGTTTCTGTAAGTGATCCCTTGCCCATATTCCTGTTAACAACCCCAATAAAACCCATTGGTTCACAAAAATAAATAAATAAATAAATAAAGATAAAAATAAAATAGAAAATAAATTCAAATCACATACACACAGACACAGATGCGCACGCGCGCACACACACACACACACACACACACACACACACACACACACGCATGCATACATATACACATTGTAAAAATAAGTCTGAAAACCTGAATAGAGAAGATAGAGCATTAGCGGGTTGTTTTCAAAGGCACCAAAATCTGGGTAACATGGTATTTTCCAACTGTAAGATTCAGTACAAAGGAATTATTTTTTAAATCAGATTTTTAAAAGAAAATTGCATAATAGAAGAATGGTGTAGCCAATTTCTGATTATTATACAAAAGCATCTAAAAGTCATTTGGAGACATACCAACTTAGAAATGTGTGTTTCTTCTGGAATCTGGTTGGCCTACTGAGCAGTGGAGAATATTTTCCATAATCCTAATGCTGTAAGAGAGGCTGCTTGGGAAAATAGCACTGAAATTGGAGTATACAATATTATTTTAAGAAATGGAACTTCGAATTAGAGGGTGATGGAAAGATGTAGGGGGAATATGCAACATAAATTTTAGGAAGATATTTGTCAATATGATAACATTAAAAGCTTTGAAATATTTTCTTAGCAGAAAATTTTATTGGCTAGAACAATATTCTCCAGAAGCCAGTTCACAAATTCCAGGTTTTTACTGTGATAAATCTTGAGAAATGATAAGCATATGAGTAACTGTACATGTCAGCATAAGCATGCCCAAAACTAACCCAACCAAACCAAATTCTTTCCCTCTTTGACCCAGGTATCCCGGGGTACTTAGGGAAAGGGAGTAGAGGTAGCCTGTCTGCTTTTCATGAGCTGTATGACAAGGCCCACATAACTTCTCGGTTAAGTGACAGCTTACAGAACCATCTTTAAATGATTTATGTCAACCTGAACTGAGACAGTTAAGTGTCTTTTAGTCACTAGTGGTGATTTAGAATCAAGTTTCCTGAAGTTAAGAATTCAGAGAGGGAGTTAATATATAGGATAAAACCCCTCAATTTTCTGATGTTTCAAAGGGCTGAAATTAAGTAGATTATTTACTGGGATTAAACATAAAATGCTGCTTTGGTTTAGAATATTAGCTGCAAAATTTTGAGGATAAGTGAGGGTAAAGATGACAGAAAGAATCAGACCAGAGGAACACAGTGACCAGTACCACAAGACAGTAGACCAGGACATTTAAATAGCTATGACCCTAGTCTATCTACATCTTTTGTCACATAAGCAGTAAAAATTCAGGCCATATATATATGCAGGACACTGACAAACTTCAACATAGAATATAGCAAGGTCTGGAATTATGTCACAGGGAACATTTAAAGTAATAGATTATCTCACCAAGAAAAGACAAAACTGAAGAGAATTGAATATCTTCCATTTTTCCTGGAGGCCACAGCTCTCTTTTGGGCCAAGCACTGCTCTCCACATGTTCTGTCTTCATGTTCATCTGCATGCCATCTTCACAGTGCTCTGCTGAGACATGCATCCCTATTCATTTCGCCATCTTCTAGGTATAGAAGGCAAGGCATGTCCAGTTGTATCACTCTAGCTGTCGTTCAACACCGAGTAGATAACATAACAAAACTAAAACCTGAGCTTCTCATGATCTCCGCTCTAAACACACTGCTGTAGAGTTTCCAGGAGCAGAAATGGAACCCAAATACAGTTGGAATTGTTTCAGGGTGACTCTAGATTGGAGAGCTATAAATCTATGAGGAAGTATGTTTCCCTGTGTCGAGCATGTTCAAGTACCTGTTGGGAGGATTGTGAGGATATGTTGTGCATTTGGGGCTATCCCATTGTGAAGGTTCCTTCCATATTGAACAGTCTTTGATTTTCTGCTGTCTGGTCTCGGGTTCTGCATGAGAGGTGTACACTTGTGCCATGGCGGACTCTTTCCTTACATATCTGCCTCACATTTTCTCATGTAATACTTCCACCTACTTTCTCAGTTACCAATCAAAGTGTGGCACACTTTCTACTATTTTGTCTTCCTTTTCTCCAAAGACAAACATTTAGACACTGTGATTATAGCATTTCCACCAGAGCCCATGCTTCTCTCACTGGGGTAGAGTAACCCCTCCCCGCTTGGGTTAACAAATAGGGTTGTGGGAGGTTCCTTATGTTCTTCCTGGAGTGTTTGATTCACATGATTATTTTTAACAGTAATCATATGGCTTTATTATTGTGGTAATATCCATTTTAAAGCAAACATAGATGTTCCTGCTTTGTAAAATGCAAAGTCTTCACAAGTTTTTAACATGAAATTTGACATTCCAAAGAAGCTTCCAGTTTGCAGTCTGCTTAGGGCTCTGGCCTCAGGTCCAGGGAGAGTCATTTGCACTGCTGGGAGATTCTTTGGTGGCAATGTTCCAGAAGCACTTCCCCAGTCAGTCCTTACATTTTATAATGGAGGAACTGACATTCAGAGGAAGTGAGAGACTTGTGCCCTCTGAGCCTCAGTTTCCTTCTCCAGGCTTGGCTT